CCGGATTAGTTTCTCCGTCGGGCTAATTTTCAACGAACTATTTTTTTATTTACAATTTACGTGGTAACCACGACCCACCTGGTGGTAAGCGGTTACCGTAGCTTATGAACGTCTGCAATAACAGGGGCAATACGCGCTGAGAGATCCTCTTTTTTGGAGAATCCAATGCTGTAGTCTCTTGGAATATCTTAACTTTTCTAAATTGGTTCTGATTCGATTTTCTTTAATACTATAAAGATAACTAATTATAACAGTAACGCAGCCTTTCCCAAAGTGGGCGATAACGCCCCCTTGTGGGTGCTGCAGGCCTAAAGGGGGAAGCAGTAAGAGACCCAGAAAAAAAAAATGGGGGCGTTGTGTAGATGCTTGGGGGTGATTTGTTGATCTTGAAATAATAGTGGTTTTTAAGTAGGTGAAAAATGGGGCGCTAAAAATAATTTATTCTCAAAGTGGGCAGTAGACAAAATAAGTTTGGGAACCCCTGCAGTAACGTATAAACTTGTATTACAAAAGGTGTCATATGTATGTTTGATGACCCTAAAAATATTTTAAAATCGACACCTATTTATGTAAAACCTCATTAAATCCTGAAGAATCTCTAGGAAAGACTTCGAAGTATTCTAAGTTAGTGTCTCAATACACGATCTATGCCTATATTTTCAAGGGTAGCCGCTAAGGATAAAGTTAAATTGAATAGGTACTTAAAATAATGAGGACATAGATATTCAGCTCTTTTTTACCGAATGTAAGTAGAAAGATATAGCAAGAGTCTCTAAAACTGCCTGGACTAATTATTAAAGTTGACAGGACAAGAAATATAAAAATACAGGTCTTTCACTCTCAGTAACATTTTTTTAATAGATGATAATGGAATGGTAATCCCGCCTGCACTATCGGTATACACTAGCGGGGCACCAGTGAGGGATGATAAGTGACAATGAAGCAGGTAGTTAGCCCTTCGTGACAGATTCACTAATAAATCAATCACGATGGTTTCCAGGGAGAACTGCGAGGAGGTCGACTTGATAGAGTATACTGCTAGAAATAGGATTGCTCATCCCCATTACCAACAATCCCTTCCCTCCCTCCCCCCAAGCCTATCCTATAAATATTAATTTTTTCTTCATATATGTATTAAAAATACTATATATCTTGAGCGTCTGTGTATCATCCTACTATGGATAATTAAATTTACAAAGTTTGTTATTAATAATTTAATACAGTATTTCAAGTCTTTAAAAAATCATTAACAGACATCATCATTATTGCAAACATTTATTATCCAATGATGAAAAATCACATATGCATCTATTGATATCTAGTCAAACAAATTCGAGGTCGTCGCTCTATCCACTCTAAAATAAATTACACAAAAGTGGATAGAGAAAATTTATGACTACAGGAAACTGTATCTAAAATTGTTGTGACAAATTCAGTGTGTCCATAGATCTGGCTGCAAGGTAGCCATGTCATCTGTCTTTTAATAAGCATTTGAGGTAATCTATTACTATGTGTTTCTAATACTATTCTCTTTTTAAAATATATCTCATTAGGAAATGCCTATAAATTACTTCCAAAGTTCACTCATTCTAATTTCAAAATCTACGTAGGTGTATGACTAACAACTTGTATCAAATCTATATCAAAGCAGCCCGACACCGAATTTGTTCATTTTTTATTGAAAAATAAAATATCTATATAAGAACTGTTTTCTTATTCACAACTAGTTCTTTCTTTTGCCCGCTGCTTCGAATGTATGGATTTCGGAAATAAAAAAATCAATAAAACTTAAAATATCACCACTTCTAGGTGACGTATTAAGATAAAATATACAGGTATTTTTAAATTACCTTAAGAACAATAGGCACAGTACTATTAACATGACGCTGGAAAAAATACACGAACAGACAGGCAGAGAGACGAAATTTTTAAAACATACTGTTTTTAGCATCTATTGAACTAACTACTCGTATTTACTAAGACAATTTTTTTTTTTATATTTCCCATATACAGATACTCGTATACGTCGCGTTACAATTTTATTATATTAGTAAAATTAAACAGTAATTCACTATATAAATTCAAATTGTTATATTTTTATATATTAATAATTATTGAGTGATTGAAATATTGTGAAGCGGGCGATATCTGAACCCGTGCCTTCCACGCCATGCCGGAGCAAGCGCATCCAAAATTAAAAGTCACTACGCTTGTCGCTTTTTTTTTTATTAAAATTAATACAATTAATAATTGTGCCCAAAAAAATCGACTACAATTGTAATAAAACCGGTTATTTTGATTTAATATCTAAATTGTCGAATTGATTTTTACAAAAGTTCTATTGAATCAAACTGTAAGTATATCCTTTAGGACAAAAGAGAACTTTCCAATTTGGTTTAAAACTGACGGAGTTTTGAGGTAGAACATAGAAAAAATACAACCGAATTGGGCGCCTTATTTTCTTTGAAGCCATTTAAAAAGTAATTTCAATCATAATAGCAATAATGTAAAAATAATCGCGGTTGATTAGTAGAGAATGCATTTAGGTGTTAAGTACACCATGAGCACCTTTGTTATGCACATGAAGTTAAGTTAATAAATAACAGAAGACTCTATCGTTTGCAAAAAAAAATCTATTTATTCTAATTACAATTAATTATATTATTTCTTGTAATTGTTTATATTTATAATAAGTTTACTAATCTAATGTTTTGGAGGAAACAATAAAGAGTATCTTCTATCTATGTATGGCAAACAAGCTGACGGCCCACCTGATGGAAAGTGGTAACCGTCGCCTACAGGCATGAGCAGTACCATGGACATAACAGAGTATACTGTTTCGGCCATAATACTCCCCATGCGTTGCCATTCCTGAGGACTCAGGTGTTATTCCTCTGTACCCTGTAAATTCACGCCATATCCCACCCTTCAAACCGAAACACAGCCATGCAAACACAACTGCTTCACGGTTGAAACACGAATGGGACAGAGGTACCCAAGCAATCGACTTTTGTACAAAGTCTCCCTCTTATTAAATAATCGATTCAAAATTTGCAATGATAATATAGAAGCAAACAACATCAATGAATTCAGAATATTCTTCATACTTAAAACGCTTAAAAATAATGCATTTTTATTAGAGTCAATTGGTTTGTCTATGTTAATATTATAAAAAATAAAAAATATATATCCTTTGTTTGTAATGGATAAACTCAAAAAAGATTTAACCGATTTAAAAAATTCTTTCAACCTTTAGAAAGCTATGTTATTTTGGAAAATTCTATCTACCCATGCGAAGCCGTGTCGGATCACTAGTTTGATATGAATCTATACTTATGAAATCGTTTACCTTAACAGACTATCAACACATAGCCACAATTACCAAGTCTAGAAACCTAAAATTTTGAACATAAATGTGATTACATACAATAAAAACATATGTACATATGCTACGTAATACGTATCGAAATAAATATGAAAAAAAAACATAAAAAAAGAAATATATAGAAAAGCACAAATGGTCATGTTACCAGCAACAATAGGTTTATTTCATAACGTAAGCATCGGCTAATTATGTGATTTTGGAAAATTTCCACTTAAACAGGAAACACGACACTACGCGTGTAAAGCTGTGGGTAGCTGTTAGTATTAAATAATTATGAAGGTGTCACAATTAATTAAGTAGGTATACCAAATCTTGATGAATCAGTTTTAAATGTCATATAGTTATGTCTGTATTTAGTACTTAATCGACTGTTTTTGTCAATTTACATAATAAACATATTAACAAGCATCAATGATTATGTTATTTTTAATTAAATTTAAATATTTACATATTTTTCTCACATGTACCTACCAGTTCTTGGTTATGATTTTTATGATAAACTAGCTGATCGAGCAATCGTTGTTCTGTCATATAAATTAGGAATAGGTACACCCTAATCACCTAGCGGTATCAAATATACGACTTATAATCATACCTATCAAATATACATATAAATATAAAAATCAATCGAGTCATTTCGGAGGAGTGCGACCACAAACACTGTATATAAAAAATTGTTTTAAAATGGTCTGAAATAATAATAACTAGAATATAATAATAGATAGAAAATTTCGATAATGAGAAAGATTACATTGCCTTTGTTTTCCTGTAATTGTATAAAGATTAAAGTAATAATACAATTTAATAAGAAATCTCAAAAGTTTTTTTATATATATAATATAAAAGTTATAAATCTGTAATTTAATAAAAATATCTTTAGATTATAGTAATATGGTAATCGTGCATTTAATTATTTTAATTAATATAATAATTATAATTAGAACAGAAAATATTAAATACTAGATACTATATTATTAAGGGCGTTCTTCTTATGTCATATAGAATCGATATCACGCCTGTGTACAATAGAAATTTAAAACATTTTATACGTAGTGAAAATATTTAATATTGTTTTTCAACTCCTATTTTATTTTTTACTTTTAAGGACTTTTTTTATATAGATGTAACAATATTTTACTTTAAACTAAGTAAAATAGATACTGAATTACTAAAAAATTAATAATTTGGAACACTGATAATGTTCGCACCAAAACCTATCTTACACCTTAAAGTTTGTGTTTAGTATCATTGCTACTAAATATTTACATTACTAAGTACTTACTAATATTGCTTTGCTATTCACAAAGTATATAAATTAAACACTAAGAACGTATTAAATGTTAGATATAGAGATTCGAAAAATGTAAAATTGTAAGATTTTCTCATAGACAGTTAATATACTCCTTTATATTCTAAAACATAAATATTATTTCACCTGATAATGACCATATTTCACTTATTATTTAAACAGCGTCATAATAAAACTTAAATTATATTTATAATATAATCTATTTCTGGCTTATTAAAGTTCAAAGTTACAAAACAAAATAAACGCACGTGTTTATAACATTTATTATAGGATTATAATATTTTGCTATCAGAAAAATATACTTACGTCATGATCTGGCACGTATGAGTAAACATGGAGCTTGTCAATCCTGATAGTGCCTTGGAATGGGTACAACAGGGACCCTCTTTGCAGCTCTGATGACGACCAAACGCTAACAGAAGCTTCTCTACCCCTGGCACCACCAGGCCTCAAAGCCAGACTCAGTTCTTGCGGTATCAAAACCAACGTCTCCATTTTAAACCACTGACACTCAAGAAAGTTAATCAGATTTTCAAATAAAACAATTAGTCTATACACCCACCTAAAGTCCTCCACATGTCATAAATGAGTAATCATTGAGAATTTGACCCGTCGCGTCCATCACGGTTAATGAGGATAAATATATTAAAAAAAAAAAAAAGAAAATATCGGGACGTCGCTCCGATTATCGGAGAAGCGATGTCGCCAATGGATATCGGTTGACGTGATCGATAGGCTGGTGAGACGTCGGAATCGATTAATCACTATGCAAGTTTTGTCTCTTAACTCCAAACGATTCACTGGTTTTAAAAGATTGTTCTAGTGAGTTATCACTTATTTTATTTAGTTCGTTAACCCGTTCGTGTACAGTATTAGAACATTACGCCTTGGGCGGATACTGCACGGACGCAGGATGCGCGCGCGCTTCTCTCTCAACGTGCACTGAAGGAAGCGCTAACATTGACCTTAGCCACGGCCGTGATCGCGTTTACAGTTCATTTTTTGTTCGATAAAAAGGAGAGGAGTAAAGCCCTACAACCTGTTACATTGATTTCGCTTCGTGAAGTGCACCTTAATACTTGGAGATAAGGAATGCGTGGTTGTATGATAAAGTTTGTAAGGTGTAGAGTAAGGTGCTCCCCTCCAGAGGCGGCACCTGCTTGCTTCTGCGCCGCCCGTCAGAGCGGCTACGAACGTCGCGCTGCGCACGCGCACCTGACATTTATATTTTTTTATGATTAGATTAACGTATGTTTTTCAAATGCCAAATAGAGCAGGTGACAATCTTTCTTTTTTATTGCCTGTTTATCTCGTACGTTTTTTGGGATAGGTGTTTGGAATTATTTATGCTCGAGTGCAATACGTAATCAGTTGTAACTGTATGGTTAATTTATGTTTGGATTATTTGATTTAGTAAATAGTAATATTAAATTGTTATATTTATTAATTTATAAAAAATAACATACATACAAAGGTATTACTATCTCATCTGCTGTTTCAAATTGCAAAAAATTAAAATAAAAAATGACATATTCTTAAAAAAACATTTTAGTAGCTTACAAATAAAAAAAATATAAAATAAACTTTTAAAATAAAATTATATTGTTTAATTTCATTTAGGAGAACTGTATTATACATATATATAGCAAATAGATATGACAAATATAAAGTTTAAATTCGTCTTTGCTGCTAATGTTCTTGTTTACGTTTTTAAAAATTTTATTTAATCAAGTTACTGGTAATAAAATTATTAGATAATTAATTTTATTATAATTTTAAAACAAATTATCTATAAATTAGATTTCAGAAAGCATTATTTTTTAACATTTTAATTATTACTGTTATTTATTATTCACAAAATGACACATCTGATAATAAAATGATAGTTTTAAAAGGTTTAAATGTTAATATCTTCTATTTATTATATTTATATTAAGTGGTGAATTTAAGTGATGGTAAAATTATTAGACAATTAATTTTATTGTAATTTTAAAACAAATATGTATAAATTAATTTTTAAGAAGTATTTAATTTTTTAACATTTTAATGACAACTGGTATTTATTTTTCACAAAATGACATATTTGAGAATGAACTATTAGTTTCCAAAGGTTTAGATCTCAATACGTTTTATCTATTATATTTTCACTAAGTGGTAAATTTTATAGATATTTTTATATTATATTAAAAGTTACTCTTTAATACCTATACCATTCAATTATATAAATAGGTGAGAAAATAGGTTAAATATATACTGCAAAGTATGACGATTTGTCATCTCATTTAATTTAATGTCACCAATGAATTTGTAATATAAAGCGAAATTTTACCAAGAAAGTAACCACAATATTACAAAGATGCTTTCTTTCAAACACATCAAGGCTTTAAAACTAGCAAATATTATTATAGTAAAATATTCTTTAAAGTCACGACTTACGGTTTATATTCGTGTGGTGTTAGTAAGACACATGATACAGAAAATGTCGACGACCTGAACACACCTGCTTCAACCGCAATCCACATGTTGGTACTCAGTAGATACACTTATTATACAAACCAGTATATACATTAGTGGTGTACTGGAAGTGGAATAATAATTAAAATTAATTGTATCAATACTTTTTCTATCATTCCGCTACCTAGTTGGTGTTAGTGCCAAACATGTCCTGTCATTTATCGCTTTTATTTTGTTCATTGCTTTAATTTTGTATATTTATTAAACTTTATGTAACATTAGATTATATAGATAGAGCATCGAGTGTCGAAAATGTGTTAAAATTTAGTTAGCTAATTTTACCTTTGGATAACTCCTGTTTATTTTAATAAACAAAACGTGCTTTTTTTAATGTTGCCAGTAATTGATTTAAATTTCCCAGATCAGATTCACTTTTTAAATTTGTTTTGAGAACTATTTTATCTATTGAAGTATAAATATGCATGTTTACATATTATTAATAAATTAATATGTATATAATAAATACAAAAACATATTTTATGTCTATACTCATATATAAATTAAAGTATTCAGTAAAGATAAGCATCATTGTGAATCATAATACATAATAGTACTGTTAATCTTGTTTATTTGTTTATTTAAATAACTTTATTGACCGAACGAAAATATAGTACTCGATAGATTTTATTTCTTAATGTAATCACACATTGTAATTTTTCCTATGTAATGTACATTATGGTAACTCTGTTCACGTACACATAGACAAAAAGTTGACCTATTTGTGATGAAGCATTTGGAGGACGATGGAGACACTATCTATATAATCTAAGTCGGTATTATATGTATATTATACTGTATACACGACGAATTATACCTACGTTAGCAGTGTACTGGAAGTGAAATAATATTTAAAATGAATCGTGACAATACTTTGGTGTGACAAACATATTCTGCAATTTCCCGTATTTATTTTTATACTTTTTTTTATTTATATATTTGCCAGATATAAATTAAATTATAATTTTATTAAGTATTGTGTGATATTCGTTACTAGAAATATAATAATAATTTAAATCAAATAGGTACATCAATACTTTTTTTGTCATTCTACTATTTAGGTTTATGCCAAATATGTCCTGTCATTTTTTTTATATATAATTTAGTTTTTTCTATCCAAACTAGTCGACCTGACAAACGTTGTTTTGCTTCTACTGTGCCATCTATTGAATCCATAATTCATTAAAGATAATTTCACTGGAAAATATTTTTATAACGATTATTAGCTAAATTGTCTTAACAATTAGTTGAGATAATTTTTATGAAAAAATGTAAATTTTAATAATCTTAAAACAGCTTTGGGCTGGAAATGCTTAACAATGTTGTTGTTAAAAGTTTCGTAAGTACAAATTATATTTTAATGTAATGTCTACTAGTTTAACTTACATGTAATTAGATCAAGAAACCTCGACTAGTTTTTTAATCAATACGTGATCCTTAATCATAAGTAGCTGTGGCGCGAGCGCGAGCCTGACTAGTCGAGCTTTCTTGACCCTTAGTTGCGAGCTGTGTGTGTCTAGGTATTTGTAGGTAAGTATTTGTGACGGTGCCGTGAATGCCTACAGTTCGCTTTCAGTGGGCCGACATGTGTAGTCAGTCACGCGTTCGCATCACAGCCGCTCAAGATTAAGGGTCCCGAATGGTCTTGTAACTAGTCGAGCTTTCTCGATCAAAATAAATTTAAATTAAATGGGTAGTTTTTACGATAATACTCTTATGCTTCCGTACTTTATAATTTTAAAAAGACAGTTTTACATATTCTTCCGAGGCTGTATATTTAAAAAAAATGTACAACCACAGAAGGTATTTTCGTTCATTCACGTAACTTATTTGCGATAAGCACCGTCTCATGAATGCAACTTTGTTACAAACAGATGACTTGGCTGTTTCCTTGAATATGATTATTATATATGTTGTTGTCCTTTTCATATGGAATTTTAATTGTACTTAACTATAGATATTATTAATAGGTATTAATTTCATATGACATTTGGAGAATATAAATGTATTAACTCCTTCGCCAATTTTTTTTAATAGACTAAAAATTTTTTTTTATCAAATGAAACACGACTTTTTTAAATAGGTGAAGATGAAATAGTAACCTAACCTGAATTATTTATTTATGTTGGTTTCCTACCAGCGAAGTATGATGGGTGAGGATGAGGTGAGGTAAATTGACCCATTATAGAAATGTATTAGGAGTTAGGACTATATTACAAATACTACTATAGAAACTACTGGCAAAACCCCCCCAAGGGGAGGCTTATTTTCAACAATGGACAGTTCGTGTTACAATCGTAAAGCAGTTGTGTATGCATGGCTGTGTTTCGGTTTGAAGAGTGGGATTTGGCGTGAATTTACTGGGTATAGAGGAATAACACATGAGTCTTCAGGAATGGCAACGCATGGTTGGTATCATGGGCGAAACAGTATACTCTGTTATAGCGTACTCCATATCTCGTCTATAAGCGACGGTTACCACTTTCCATCAGGTGGGCCGTCAGCTTGTTTGGCATTCTAAGTTGTATAAAAAAAAATGTTAACGATATTACAATATATTCACGATTATATTAATGCCTCAAAGTTTGGAGACAAAAGTCTTTAACCATTGCGTGTTGTCAGTAAAGACTTATGGAACCGAAACGTGGTCCTACACGATGGCCCGTATAGAAAATCTTCAAATTACCCAGCGGGTTATGAAGAGGGCTATACTCGGAGTTGCTTTGCGTGATAGAATCCGAAAAGAGGATATCCGTAAAAGAACCAGTCACCATAGCCCGCAGGATAAGCAAGCTTAAGAGGCACAAGGCTGGTTACATATCTCGAAGAATCGACAACCGATGGGGAAGAAAGATTCTTGAGTGGCGAGCCAGTACGGGCAAACGCAATGTACGACGACTCCCCACTAGATGGAGTAACCACCTCAAATGCATCGAAGTCAGTGGATACAGGTGGCTCAGAACCGTTCTTTATGGCAGTCTATGTGGAAGGCCTAAGTTCAGCAGTGAACGAATAATGGCTAAAATGATGATATGAGGGAAATCTAGTAGAGAGAAAAGAATAAAGTAAATAATATTAAAAAAATCTTATTTTCAAACACAAATAAAGATTGAGCTCAAAAAAAAGTAACTAAATCCCCTAAGTAGTAGAAATCTACTGTTTAGGAGACTTAGATATGTTTGACATATAATCTGTTAATGAACATTTTATTAATATGTTTAAAAAAATTAATTATCTTTAACTCAAGTTTAATTGGAATAACCTAATTAACAGTAATGTGTAGAGACAGAGATCTATCTCCACATCTTATTTTTTTGTCAATACACCTAAATTATTATACCATATTTTTGCATGGTTTTATTTTTATTAGTAACAAAATAACAATTATAATATAATGTCAAAAATACGGAAACGAAATTTGAGAATGTAATCACAACACAGAGGGCGGAGTTCTGGCGTGGGCGTGGCCTCGCGCGGCCTGCCTCCTGCGCGT